GTCAGTCTGATTCTGCAGCATCCCTGCAGAGCATAGAAAAAGACCCTTAAGTTCAGGTAATTACACCAAACAGGAGAAGTAAATTTCTTTATGTTTAATGCCTCCAAAATAGAAAAGTGTGTGGGGGTGGAGTGGGGGGGGGTCTTAGTTTACATGACGAGCTTCAGGGAAGAGAAATTCTAGTTGCTGTGGCTTACCTTGAGGATGAAAAGAATGCTAGGAATCATGAGTCATATATCACATATGTGTGTGTGTGTGTGTGTGTGTGTGTGTGTGTGTTTGTGTGTGTGTCTGTGTGTGTGTGAGGGAGAGAGAGAACGAGAGATAATTTCACCTCTATGCTTTGACTTTGGTCTCTGCTCAGTTTCTGCTCAAACCAGTGGGATGGGGTAGAAGTGGGCCCAATAATGTGCTAACTCTAAACCTAAGAGTCAAGCAATCTTACACACTTTCTCTAATTATCTTGGATCTTGGCACCGCCATGGTAGCAAGCCCAAGCTAGCCTGTTGGAGGGTGGAAAGCTACCTGGAGGGTCTGACTGGCCCTGGCAGCATGCTCATGCCAGAGCTTAGTCCAGCTGACACTGGCCTGGACCAGAGAAGGCACTGTGCCTACCCACAGTCTCACGGCCAATAATCCGTGTCTATGATTCCCAGCCACTAAGCTGTGAGGGGCATTGCTGCTCAGTTAGGAGCACAAAGAGTTGGCGATATCTAACAAGGGCACAAGTCAGTAATATTCTGCAGGTTAGAGAAGAAGAGAGAAAAATACCGTGACAGAATAGGCAGGCAAGCAGAAATAGAGTGTTCTGAGGTTTAAAACAAAGGCTTATTTTTCCTCGTGTAATAGGAAATAAGTAGGTGCTTTCGAGCTGATGTTGTTGATCACCGATTTACTGGGGTGGAGACCCATTTTTCTTCCTGTGAAACCTAACATGAGCCATTACCTCTGTGCTTACAAAGGCTGCTGTGTCTCCATAGGGTGCAGTTATGTTCCAGGAAGGAAAAAAAAAGTGAGAAAGTGATGTTTGCCCCTTGTTTAAATGGTGTATTAGGGTTCCCTAAAGGAACAGCACTGATAGATTGTGTATTTGTTGGTTTATTAGAATGTCTTATGGGGTGTGGTTTGGGAGTCCAACACTAGCTCCCCCACACTGGAAAGGCTGGGAATCCAGGACCTTCTCAGTCCATGAGGCTGGATATCTCAGCAGTCCTGTTCTGGTGTAAAAGCCTGGAGGATAGTTGGTCTTCTTCAGTCTGCATCTGATGCCCAGGGAAGCTGTTTCTAAAGTTGGTGAAGGAATGCTACAGGAATGGGATCCGTGAACTTGCTGATGAAAGCAAGGGCAAATGGGCAAAAAAAAGGGGGAGGGGGGCTCGAGAGATGGGTCAGCGGTTAGGAGCACTGTCTGCTCTTCCAGAGGTCCTGAGTTCAATTCCCAGCAACCACATGGTGGCTCACAACCATCTATACCCTATTCTACCTTCTTAGAGCACTAATATGCATAAAAGAAATAAATAAAATCTATAAAAAAAGAAAAGAAAAGAAAAGAAAGAACGAAAAGGAAAAAAAGAGAAAAGAAAAAGCTTCCAGGCACCATTAAGGGTGAATCTTCCCACTTCAAAGACCCTGAAGGAGTGGCTAGCGGCTTTTCTTTTAGTAGATTCCAGATCCAAATCCAGTCAGGTTGAAGGAGACCAACTCAGCTGGGAAGGAAATAGATCCTGTTCATGTTTTGCTGGAGTGAGTGAGCTGCTCTGCACGCTCACCTAAGTGTGGCACTGAACAAATCAACGCCCTCCCTTTCTCCCCACCCGTTCCCTCTCAGCGAATTACTTTCCCTAAAGAAGTTAGGATTCTGTTACCAAGCAAGTCTAGGAATGGACATAGAGGAGGCCGCTAGCGCCCTTTGCTCTCTGCATCAGAGAAAGTAGCTTACTTAAGATAGTCACCCAAAGGGAAAAACATCCAGCATAGTCAGTGTAAGGATCGAGAGGTTTTACTGTGGCGAGGGCAAGGCGCTGAAGATGGAGCTCCACGGCTGACTTGCTGAGGGCAGATCCTCTTTCAATTTCCCTTTAAGTCAAGACACCCTATAAGCAGAACACCCTATAAGCCTTTGAGAACCTGTGGAGACTAAGATGGGAATGAACATTTGTGATCGATGCCCTGTGTACAACCACTTATTTAGGCCTCACAACAAAACTGCGTGTAGGGAAGATAATTCTTACTTTGTCGTGGGGAGGGTGGGTGGGAGGTGTGGGGTGAGTGTGTGTGGCTGTGGGGGTGGGGAGAGGGGAGTGCGTGGCTGTTGGGGAGGGAGAAGGGATGGGTATAGATTAGGGAGTGAATAGAAATCAAGCAGGTCACAGACTCGAATCTAGAAATTGTCTAGGGTCGTTAAGGTCTGTAAGTCTCCAAGGCTGGAGGCTTCTTCCCGTGGCCCAGCCTTTCTCCAAATGTCCGTGGCTTCGTTCATTCATTGCCTTCTCAAGAGGCCAGGTGCCCTGAGCAGGAGAACCTCCTTGGCAGCGCAGATTCTTCTCCAGAGGAGCTTAGGCAGGCGTTCCAGGGCCCAGGCCTCGGCTTCCACATCAGGAAAACTGCAAACAGAGTCCACATTTTAAACTGACAGTTTACTGCCCCCTTCTAACACAGCTTATTTCCAGATCCGTCGCTCATGGAAATTTTTCTCCTAATATTGGAAGATACAACTTAAAAAAAGTCTGTTTCTCCTTCCTGTTCCTCAGTTTCCTAGCGAACACACTTAGTTCCATGGAAAATGTCCTGGACCTGGAAGTGTGTCATGGAAGAAATCCTGTTGATCAGTCAGTCCAGGCTTCACAAGGCAGAGGATTGGGTTAACATCATGCAGAGGGGATGGGCAAAGGAAATGGCATTCATTAAATATTTACCATGTCCCAGACACTGCTCCAGACACATTATGTCACTAAAGCACCCTGGACTTGTGATTCAGCCCCTTTCATTTATAAGTGGGTATGTGCTCTTGTGACTTGGTACCCACTGAAGATAATCAGAGGAAAATCCCATGAGGTTAATTATTCATGCATAGAATAAAAATCTCTTGAGATGTTATGCAAGTCGCAGACTAGACCAGGAAAATAAAAGAGGGGAAGGGTGGTCTTGGTGCGTGGCTGTAACCCCAGCCCTAGGGGCTTGGGGGCTGAGGCAGGAGGATTCCAAGTTTTCTAGCCTGGTTTGCATAGGGAGGTCCAGTCTTTACAAACCAAGGGTTGGGGGCTGGAGTGATAACGGAGTGGTAAAGAGCATTGTTGTGCTTGCTTTTGCAGAGGAAGTGGCTCTGTTCTTTGCACCTTTGTCAGGTAGTTTGCAACCACCTGTAACTCCAGTTCCAAAGGATTGGACGCCCTCTTCTGGACTCCACGAGCACTGCATGCACATGGCACGCATACGTAAACACACACAAATCTTAAAAAACAAACAAACAAAACCCCACAAGGGCTGGGGATGTAGCTTTTTGGTAGAGTAGTTGCCTAAGACGAACGAGGCTTTGAGGGTGGGGGTGAGGTGGGGACCGGCACCGGAGACTTCAGGTGTGACAGGCTAAGTCTCCCAGAGCGATTGCATTTGAACCTGGCCAGATTTAATCTCTGCAGCCCCGGTGCACTGGAGCCCGGAGCCTGGAGCTGACGGTTCTGCAGCCCCAGAGAGCAGGCCCTGGAGATCTGGCCTGTTTCAGGCTCAGGCAGGTTGAGGACTTGCTCAAGCGTGTCCTGGCTGGAGCCCATGAGCAGTCTCAGACCCCAGCTCTAACTCCCCACGGTTTCCCTTCATAGGAGACTCAAATTCTTGGAGAGTGGCTGTAAAGCAATTTACCAATCGATGCTAGAGGCCGGCTGATTCCCACTCTCGAGCTTTATTGAATTCCGAGTTCAAATCACACAGAAAATAACATTTTCTCCTTAAAAGGTTCTGCGGAAAAACGCTGTCGGTGCCATGCGGCCGCCTCCGTGGCTGTGTTTGTGTCTGAAGAAAGGACTAGTCTGACAGGAAGAATTACAAATCTGGAGCTCATTTTGGCGTCCCAGAGGGAAGGTGGGTGGAGCGTCTCACAGTAAATTAGGAATTCAGAATGAGAGCGGAGCTGAGTTTATTTGGGTTTTTAGTGACACCTCGAAATCATTACTCAGGCTCGTCGGAGGCAGCTCCAAGTGCTTCGCTCCGGGGCGGGATGCTCCGCGGGGCAATCCCCGCTCCTCGTGGGACTGTCCGCTTCCACGTGGGGTCAGGGAGGGTGGGAGGGAAGGACGGCGGCTGGGGATCCCCAATCTGGGTCTATTTACGCGGATGAGAGACAGAGGGCCGTTTGGGGGGTGTGTCTGAGCTCCGCCTCGGGAATCCGAAGCCGAGATCCGACTTCGGGACTGGAATTTGGGGACGGGGAGACGAGGTCCGGGGCGGACGCGGAGAGCGGGAGTGTTTTGCGAGGAAGAGGAAAGCTGGAAGTTGAGGCGCGGGTTTAGGAAGGGGACGTCGACCGCAGACGGTACTGAGGGTCTGAGCTGCGAGAGTTGAGCTCAGCGGGCGCCGGGGTGCGCCCGGGAAGTCAGGGTGGGGTAGACGGGCACAGTCTTTCCTTAAGCAACTCGCGCGGGCACACCCCGCGCCTAGCCCGGGGCTGCGGGCTGCGGGCGCCGTCGGGCGCGCCGGCTGGACCCTGCCCCCACCCTCCGGTACAGCTCAAGCAGCCCCGGCGGCGGCGGCTGGAGTAGCGGCGCCCAGCGGTGCGGGGGCGTGGCCAGAGGCCCAGCGAGCGCGGGGGCGTGGCTAGAGGCAGAAGCCCGCGGCCGCTCATTGGCCGCCTAGAGGCCCCGCGGGCGGGGCTCTCGGCCGGGTCCCTCTAGGGCCCTTGCGGGCGGCGGGAGGGGCGGGGTCAGCGGGAGCCCTGCAGCCAATGGGCGCGCGTCCCCCGAGCAGTTACAAAGGGCCGGAGCGAGGCCGCGGCGGCGGCGGGGAGGTGGGGCGAGGCGAGGCGAGGCGAGGCGAGGCTTGCCGAAGAGAAGCCGCGGCCGGGGCTGGGCCGGGCCACGGGCGGTGGCGGCGGGACCATGGAGGCTGCGGCCGCTGCTCCGCGTCCCCGGCTGCTTCTTACCCTGTTGGTGGCGGCGGCGGCGGCGACGCTGCTCCCGGGATCGGAAGGTGAGCGGGCGGGCGGGCGGCCGCGGGACGCGCGGGCCGGGCCCGGCCTCTGGCTCGCTTCTGCTCTTTCTCAAACATGGCGCGGGGCCGGGGGCGCAGGTGGCGGCGCCCGGCCAGCCGGGCTCTCCTGACCCGGCAGGCGCCACGCGAGCCGGGGCGGGGAGGAGAGGCGGGGCAGGAGCGGCGTCGGGCGCGGGCGGCCGAGCGCCGAGCGGAGGCCGGCTCTCCTGGGCTCCCGGGGGCCGCGGCGGGCGAGCCTGCCCGAGGTCGGGGGCTCCCCTCGGGGCGCGGGGCCGGCCGGGACCGTGGCCCCCGAGTCCCTGCCTCGGTGCGCCTGGGCCTGAGGCTGTCAGAGCGTGGACGGGCAGCGGCGTGGGGAGCTCCCCGGAGGGTCGGAAGGGGCGCCCTGGGCGGAGATCCCCGGTGGGCCGCGCCGCCGTGAGGGTCGGCGCCCGCCGAGGGCGACCCTTCTCCAGCCGGGGGCTTTGTGTGAGAGAAGCAGGCGCGAAGATGCGCGGAGTGTTCTCTCTTCGTGCGTCTGCGAAGAGTTGGGAGTCCAGTAACCAGAAGGCTTGCTAGTGGGAACTTGAACGTTTGCTGGCTCAGTCTGCAGGTTTGGGGACGTTTGAATGGGAATGATTCTGCACAGTTGATCAAATGCTTCATTTTCTCGAAGGGATTCTTAGGTGAAGGTAGTTTTAGAGTCAGATCTCGTGTGTAGCTGAGTTTTGAGGGAGATGTTGTATGGTTTTCCAAGGTATTCAAGCCGGTCTTGTGGTACTGGTTATCACTCCGTAGAGTCGGAAGAGTGAAAAACTTTGTCAGTAACCGAATTAAAATAGGAGAAAGCAAAATATTGAGGCTCAGCATTAACAACTAAAATACAGTATTTACCTTTCTGTTGCTGAGATTGGGTAACAAAACTCAAAAAAGCAAAACAAGCCACCCCAAAGTCTCTCCAGACTCAATGTCAGCTACTATTACCTTACTAGTTCCTGTCAGCCATTATTAACTTAATAGTTCCTGTTTATTAGAAGTGATTATAATGCAGATGCAAAGGTGTACCATAGTACAATGTCCGGCCCCCATAAACGAACCCTCAGGGCTACCAGTATTTGTCCTGTAAGTTGACTGAGGTGCAGGAGATTAAGTTCTTAGTAAGTGCAGAAGTTAGTGTTTACACTTAGGCCTTTCAGAGTTCAAAATCAGTGCACCTGCTACACCAAAGTAGCATTAGCCCACTTCAAGAACGGTTAATGTTGAATACTTCAAACTTAGGTATTTGTTTCTTAATTGACTTGAACTTTCCCTTTGCATAGGTCTGCATTAGAAGATGAGGTGGGGTTTTTGACATTTGCTTAGGAAGGAAATAACTGTGGGTAAAGTGGGGGGATCGTTATAATTATGCATCAAATACAAGTGGCCATTACTCTACAGTTATCTGGATAAAGGAATTCATTCTTTTCTACGTAAAACAAAGCAGGACACATATATTTAGCAGTTTTTTGTTTTGTTTTGTTTTTGATGCTGAGAAGATTGGTCCATGCACTGGAGGACTTTACAGCCTCCTTAGACAATTATGTAATACAAAACTAGCCTAGATGTTTTTATTACTCAAAGATGCTTTTTGTTACTCAAAGCCTAGACTAGCACTTCATAAACTTTTCCGGTTCCCCACCCTCTTTTCTCAAGAAATTGTATGTAACTTTGAGTATATTGATAAAGAAAGCTGGTGTATAAATCACATATACTGATAATAGATTATTAGTAAAATTATTTTAAAACAAATTATTGGTACATATAGTTTTATTAGAGATTAAAGCAAATTTTCTTAGTAATGGGATGGCTGAGTTTATTCTTACATAAAGAATTCAATGCCATGTCACATAATTACATATGTTTAGGGCCATTTCAGAAGTTGCTGGAAATTCTGTCTTAATAATAAGATGAAATTCATTTAACAATTTTTAAAATGAGACAAATATTAAGTTGTTGAACTTGAACATTAGTTTTTAAAATCAGACATTCACAGTACAGTGGATACACCACTTTGATACACATGAAGGATGAAAGCCTTTTCTGTAGTCAACCATATGTTTCTGGAAGAGTAGGAAATTTTGTGTGTACAGTAAAAGCATTAAAACTCATAAGGTAATAGTTTGGACTGTGTTATCACTGCATGACATGGTGACATGTATGTTTAAAACCAAGGCTGTAGTAAAATTGCATCATGCAACACAAGCATGCACTGCCAGAAACACCTCCCATTCATTACTCATTTGATTTTGAATTAATTTTTGGGTGTTGTACATTCAGAAGCCCTTTACTGTTGCCAGATTGTTGTGTGACCCTCCCTCCGCACCTCAGGATGGAGTTATGACTCATTTTAAGAAGCTATGGCCAGCTGGGTGTGGTGCCACGTGCTTGTGATCCCAGCACTCAGGGAGGTAAAGGAAGGTGGATCTCTGTAAGTTTGAGGCCAGCCTGGTCTACAAAGCCAGTCCAGGACAGCCAAGGCTACACAGGGAAACCCTGTCTCAAAAAACAAAAAATACGGCCAGCCGGGCATAGTGGTGCATGCCTTTAATCTCAGTACGCAAGAGGCAGATGCAGGCAGATCTCTGTGAGTTCAAGGCAGGTCTGATATACATAGTTCTAGGAAAACCAGTGGAGAGCTTTTCTCTAACCACTCCCAACCACCCAAAAAAGCTGCAGCTATGGCCTACATATGTTCATCTTGTCTGTTTGTCCTCATTGAGTCAGATGGCTGTTGCAGTGTAGCCTTCTTATTCAGAAGCTCCCATGTCTTTTAGTTTCTCTTAAAACTTGAAATTGCTCCTTTTTGAGTATTATTTATATTTCTCTGATAGCTTCTGTTCTCTCCAATATAGATTTTTATAGGGCTTTTGGTTCCTTGTCCGTGGTACACATTATTTTTCTGTTTATATTTGATCACGTTAGAATGCTGTTTGCTGCCTGCCGTTTTCATGATTTTCTTGAGGAAAAAAATGCCTAACATCTTTCTCTTTCCCTCTCTCCTGTTGAGCAACCCTTAGTGCTGCCAGGTGCTCCCTAAGTCTACCTTTTTTATTGGTATTGTTTCTGTCATGGAGGATTCTGTATGGACTGATGCCAGACTATCCTGGGCTGCCCAGTGAGGTTTTGAAGGTTTTCCATGTGAGGCTTGTGATTAGGGCTGTCCCACTTGAGAAATACTGTCTCTCTACAAACTCAGTTCTGCTGTTACTGCTTTCCCACCAGTTCCCAACTTTTTAGCCTCTTTGCTGCATGTTTCATTTTCTCTCATTTATGGGAATTTGAGGGCAGAAATTCTCAGACGTGACATTCTATGTAGGTTTCATTTAGCTTTGTTTGAATTCCATCTCTTGAAACTGTATAGCATTGAAAGTTTGTGTTATCTGTTGCCACCATCTTGCATTGTGAACTAGCTGTATTTGAGTATGTATTGAGTATCCAGGGGGTAAATTACACTTTTATGTCCTCAGAACCTAGCCCTGTGTCTTACATTCTGTTCTACAGAAATGTTTGTTAAGTGACTTCTGTTTGACTGAGCAATCCTATTTATGTAAGTACAGATTATGCTATATTAATTTAGAGTTACATATATGTATATATATAATTGGGGAAAGTTGCATGATATGGTAAACAAAACAGCTGCTTATTTTGTGATGCTTGTATAATTCATGAGATTGTGGAAATTAGATGAGAAAAGTATGTGTATTTAAATTGGTTTTTTAGCAATCAGTAAGACTTGTGTATAACCACTGCCCACTAGGCTGCTTGTGTTTTGATTGGTTAGATATCTATTCTGATTGGCTAATGCTCTTGTAGTGCCCATTGTTAAATGTTCTTAATATCACCTTTTGTGGAGAGACAATATTTGATGAGAAGTGGTAGTATAGGCTGAGGTTACCGGAGAGGGCTTTCCGGAACACGTTCTGACTGAAAATGACTTTGAAGGGTCTTTAGAATTCAGGGAGGCAAAGAAGAGGATTTGGTGATTTTTGTTTTGTTCTGTTTTTCCAGACAGGGTTTCTATGTGTAACAAGCCCTGGCTGTCCTCGAGTCCATTTGTAGACCAGGCTGGCCTCAAACTCATAGAGATCTGCCTGTTTCTGCCTCCAGAGTGCTGAAATTGAAAACATGAGCCACCACTTCCAGAGGATTTGATGATTTTAAATTTCTTGTCTTTATGTTCTCAATTACTGCAGGTTAAGAATTAAGCGAAATGATTCTTTAGTTTATGCTATATGTTTGCATGTATTAACTTGTATCATCTTTCCCCCAGTTGTCAAAATTCTTAACATGTGGCTGGAAATAAGACGGAACTGTAAATAAGTGGATGGATTTAGGAGACTAACATAATGGGATACTCGCCATCGCTAAGCATTTCAGTGTGAAGATTATAGGAATAAAGCATCATTTCAGTTTTCCATGGAGGATCCTGAGAGTAATTGAATTTCTCAGGGTTCCATGGTGCCAAACTAAGAAAGGAAGGAACTTTTATTTCCTAATTCCAAATCTTGTGTCTTGTCCTGTGCTTTAAAGTTAAGGACTTGAAGATAAAGGCGTGGTGGTTCCCCTAAGTCAAGCTGGTCTTGAATTAAGAGAATTTAAGAAAAGTCAGTTTTGTGGGAGGGGAGGAAGGAGGCTTACAGGTGAAGTCTCCAGGGAAAGTCACTACTTTTTATTGCTAATTAGGTAACTTGGTGTAGTGCTTACTAATTGGGAGAAGTGGGCGGGCAGTAGTTTTGGATTTGTCTTGGTTAAGTAAGGTGTAGTTGGATTAGGTGTAGCTGTGGGACAAGTTGCAAACTGTGAGCCCTTTGCTGCTCTTGTCATGGCTTATATAATGCAGTGTTTTCTGGACAGATGGACTGTGGTTAATATCATGTGATTGGGACACATTCTTACTTCCTGTTTCTGGAATTAAGGGCAGATGCTGGCATGTTTCTCAGGGATGTTTTTGCTTTTCCTCA